AGCTGCCCAGTCTGAAATGGCGCAGGGAAGACAAAATGGCCGCCGAGCGCTCCCGAGAGAGGCGGGCTCTCATCTCCACCGAGTCGAAGCACACTCCCAGATGTTATATGTTATAGACTGACTCGGGGCGAGAATGCTCTTCTACATGTTGACCTAGGGACTTAGGGACTCCAAGTGACGAAGCAGCGTGTCTATATGGCTGACTAGCGTATCCCGGGACTGAGCTAAAATAGTCCAGATAGCCAGATAGTTGAGAATGCACATCCCGCTCGCTCTGAGAGGGGAGAGTGCTGCATCCATGCACTTTGAGAAAGTGCGTGGGTCCAAAGCCAGCACGAACGGGAGAACAGAGTATTGGTACACTGTGCCCTCGAAAGCAAACCTCAGAAAGCGTCTGTGATGCGGTGCTATCTGAATGTGAAAGTACGAAAGTCCACGGAAGCAAACCAGTCCCCGGGCCGAATTTGCGCCAGGATCTGTCTCAGCATTATCATCCTGAATGGACGCTTGCGAAGCGCTCTGTTGATGGGCCTGAGATCTAGAATCGGGCGGAGTCCCACATCTCTTTTGGGTACCACAAAATAGCGGCTGTAAAACCCGCTCTCCAGCTCGCTCGGAGGGACTCTCTCTATTGCTCCTTTTCCGAGCAGACTGCATACCTCTTATCTCAGAACCAGGGCATTTCAAGGCAATGTTAGAGACTGCACCACACCATTGAAACGGGGGGGTCTGCGTCTGAATTGAAGGGTATACCCACGCTCTATCACACCGAGTAGCCAACGTGAAATCCCCTGAATAACTTCCCACGCGCTCAGGAACTGACATAGCGGCTTGGTCGTTGGAAGTGCCAGCGAGTGCTGCGCGACTATAACCTGTGTGGGCGGCGGCTCTGCACTGCTTTGAGGCGGGGCGAGCGGCACCGCATTGACTGAGTGAGGAGGAAAGAGCTCTTTTTGTGAGAATGTATGCATTTTTATTGAATGAACATTCAACACACAAACATTCCAACACATGAACTTGTGGCACTTAGGAGCCGGGCTGCTCGCGCACTCTCCTCCTCTCTTCAGACCGTCAGGACGACAGCTTAGCAGTCGGCGGTGGGCGAGAGTCACGTCACGGGCTCCTCTGCTGGCCATGGCGTTTCCTCCCGGGACCCCACGCCTTCCTCCGAACATACGACTCCTGGCAAGGAGCGGTAGCAGACACCGCTGCGGTCGCTGGCCTGGGGTTAACCCTCCGTTGGGAAGAGCCAGATGCTGACAAGGATCTGGATCTCGCCATCTGGTGCTGGAAAGTGCACCTTGGCGTCACGTGACTCATGGCTTTGGCGTGCTTTTGAGCCTTCGCAAAGCTCTCAATAATGGACTCCACAGCATCACAGAAGAGGCCGGAGGGAGTCACAGGAGCGTTCAGCTGCACTTTACGGTCAGCATCCTTGAGGTCAGCCAGGTTTAACCATAGGTGCCTCTGAAGGACGACCATAAAACCCATGGCCTTACTCACGGGGTTGGGAGGTTGACCGTTGGGGTTGGAGGAGCGGTAAGACGATGCTCACCCCAAATAGGCCGCGAGCCACATCGCAGCAGGTCTGGAGCACGCGGGCCGGCAGGTCCGCTCAATGCCTGCAGTCGGACTTGTCCAGCGCCGCCTCGGCGTGGGCCAGGCCCAGGCAGACGACGCAGTGGTCGTGTTGATCCGGCGGCTCGATTGGTCCCGCGCAGATCTTGCAGATTGTTGCCATAGTGAATTCAGTAGGTGAAGTAGAAGATTCTGACGTAATTGTCGCGTACACTGCATTTTATACTGCCTCTCGAGCTCCTCAGTTTTTGCATGCGATTTGCAAACTTTGCAACAATTGGCCAGTCATTTAGACTGCCGTTAGCCAATAGGACTTCATGAAAGGTTGGAAGGGAAGGAGTTCCCATAATGGAGAAATGTCTCCGTGATGTCTCGTGAAAGCTCGAGAGAGAACTGATATTGGCCACATTTAAAACAACAATGTGAACAGCTACACAAAAAAAAATCGGATTTGAGAAAAAAAATCGGAATTGAGCGCTAAGGCTCGCAGTGTGAACGTAGCCTAAATCATTTACTTAGACTCGTTCAAACCGTTCTAACACACGAATCACTAGCGTGGCTGTTCGGAGACCTTTGATTCTGTATTGGTGGAGCAAAAATAGACCAAATATATAACAATATGTCTTCAAAACGTAAGAAGATAAATATAAGTTCTTGATTATTTAACATATATAATAGCAGCACCCAAGTCAAGTAGTCAGACTCAGGACTCACTAGGTTTAGCTGTCGTGAGGCACAGTGCTTCCTGTTTTTCGTATCCATGGCGATGGTAGCAGCCATGGATCTTTCCAAAATGAGGAGCTTCGATCTCTTCCACACTAAACCTCCGGGTGTCTGCAGTGCTCAAAGGGAAACTATAAAACAATGACAGTGTACAATGGTACATATGACAGCCCCACATTATTTTAGTCTGTATGACGTTAAGATTTAGGGAACAAGAGGCTCTCAAGTTAATTCATACATATCTACACACCCACTCACACATGCAACATGCATGCGTCATCTTTATTGATCCTATATGCATTCACAACACAATTAACACCAGCACATGACCAATGCAAACCTTAGCTGGTACTTATTGATTTATTGTCAAGTAGCAAGTTATGAATAACCACGGTAAAATGACAAGCAGAAACATGCACACAGCTTTCTAATATAATAACAGTGCTTATGAAAGTAATTTAAATGGATGGACCAACAACATCAACTGTTTATGCAAATGGTGTTATTAAACAGAAAATGGAACAGTGCAAATGTTAATACAAAAATGAGAAGCAAATGTCAAGTGTTTACATAATAAAATTGAGTCGATTAGTGTAAACACATTTATTAAGGCAGGCCTCATTGCAGCAGTCTGTAATCATTAAAAGCCCCCATCCCTTGCCGACTGAACGGATTTCGATGGATTTCTAACTTTAACACTTCAGCAAATACGTAATGATCAGTAGCACATATAGAACAGCCGTCACGAGTACTTTCAAGGTGAATTTAAATTAAGTAAAGCAGGGTTTGTAAACAGTGAGTTGCTTGGCATGATATTATATAAGTGATTTGCACTTAAAAGTAAACTTTCAGACATAATATGCACAAATCTATGAACTAAAATGATAAAATAGGCTATAATCTAGAACAACGGTGCTCAGTCTGGCTTCTGGAAGGTGTTGCACACTTAATTTTTTGTCCATCATTTTTATCAGCTTGGTGAGATGGATCTGATGTGTTAGAGTAGCGTTGGGACATAACTGAGCAAACTTGCTATAGAATATAAAGCCACAACAGCAGCAGTTACATATCCTGACATCCTCTTTTAGGTAGTTTGCTAGTTCTAAATTATATCGTAAATCATGCAAAACTCTAAAAGCCATCAACATGCAGATTGTCAGAGTCAGACATCAAGGTCTACATATGCTGAATAAGTTTTTATCAATCAGGATGCATTTGGTCTGTTGAGACATGTCACATGGTGGATGATCACAAGCAACGGATGAGACTCCTGCAGGTGTGATGATGCAGATGGATGGCAGACTGTGATTGGATGCGAGCATTCAGCGGTCTATTTTACTAAGGTGAGCAGCTCATCCAAATACTCTGTCACATGCTCACAGCGCAGTCATAACTTTGTCTCTGTGCACGATTGACACACTCCTGCCACTGCGCTCAATCAAACCGCTCTCACCAAACCCACTACTGCTCGCAGGGGGTCTGTCCACATTGGAGGGTCTAAATCAGACACATATGCACATGCAGGTGAAACACAGATGAGATCAGCCTACATTTTGTGATTTTTTAAAAAATTTTTTACAGAAACTGAAAGATTGGCAGAGGCTTTATCTTTCAGTTTTGGTAGATAAAATGTATACCTGTGTGGTGGTGGAACGTGTCCCAGTTCCATAGGCTGTATGTATAGGGGAGGGGTCAGACTAGACTGATGTGGTCTTTTCCAAGGTTCCTGTGCAATTGGAATGTTGTGTTTATACTGTAGGGAAAAAAATATGATTCATATGAGTGAAGCCTCTTGCCAGTTACTTCAGCATTAAGAACTTAGTCGGTTAATATCAGTCTATGTTAAAAAAAAACTATCATGCTATGCTCATAATTTTTTTTCCCTGAATGTTATTTGGAGAAGTGAGCCACAAGGCTCAGGTTTTCTACAGAACCCTAAAGGGACATGATAATGGGGAAAAATGTTATTTAAATGCTTTCGCATTCTCTTGCTGAAGTACTGTGTTGTGCTGAGAAGCGCTCTCTTGCAAAACTTTTTCTTGTGCCTTCTCTTGAAAAACTTTACATTTCCCTGAGAAACTTTGCGTTTGCTTGCAAATTTTTGTAAAAAAAATAAAATAATTTACATATGCTAGTTAAAGTTTCTTGGGAGAAGGCGATACTAAAAGCACTGAAATTACATTTTTTCCCCATCTCATATTAGTTTTCAAATTTTTTGCAAATGGTCTTCAAATATGATGTTCATCTTGTGAAGGACCCTAAAACCTCCCAAGAATATATTCTAGCACTTTTCACAAGAAATATTTCACAATAAATGGAGAATTGTGACTTACAATCAATATTTCCTACTGTTGCACGGTCTATAAAATAAAACAACCATAATTTTGGACCAGTCTTTAAAAATAAAAAACAGATTGAAAACATTAAAAATATAATTTAATAAAAACATATTCAATTAATATGTAAAATCTTGACAGCCCTAAAACCATTTACAAAATAAAAAGGCCTTAAAACACCAGTCTAAATATCCCTGATGTAGCTACTAAATCCCCACACTTATTTTTTACAGAAATAATCATATAAAGGATGAAGGATATTGAAAGAGTACCGGTGTTAAGCTTGATTCAGGGCTGGTCTGTGCACTACAGAATGGAGAGAGAAACTTTGATTACACAATCAAAGCAAAAATAATTCTACATTATTCAAGCACAACAAAAATAACTAAATAAGCATGTTTTTATATCAGAGTGCTCACAATTGTGTTTGTGTGGCTTTACCTTAGATGTGGATGTTTTGCTGGAGTTATGGCTGTGAAAGACAAAAGCAGTCATATAAACATGACATATGTGATGTGATGTGATGTGATGTGGCACTTGTAATAAAGGTGCATTTAAAGGCTTTAGAGTCAGATGCGGGGCAGACACGCAGATTAAGCATGTCAGAGATGCATTAGGTTGATTATTGAAAGAAGATACGGCACACAGACCTACCCTTGACCATAGACTGGGCCCGTGAGGGATATCTTTTACTTGGTCTTCTTTCAAAAGTGCTTGCTCTCCTGACTTTACCACTGCGTGTGGCCTGATATTCAGTCCTTCCACTGTAAACACAAACAACATGACACTTAAAAAAGGCGACAGTGTAAGTATGTTGCCAGAATAGGTGTACGTGTGTGTATGGACCTGAATCTGAACCGCGAGCCGAGGCGTGTGAAGTCACTGTGGTTGCTCTTGTTGTGGGTTGGCTGTCTGAGCCGGAAGAAGGCGTGGCTTTCGACTGCACACTTCCATAAGTGCTTACACTCCTGAGAACTCGAAAGCTGAAACACAAACGTGTGCTCCTGCTCTCGGCCCTGCATGCACAAACAATACACGTGCAAAAGAAAGTTTTAGAGCACTTAAAAATATAGAGCAAATTATTGCAAATTATTCATGAATGTTTTAATGTTAAAATTATTTTATATTAAATTATGTGAATGATTAAAAAAATGATAAAAAAAATTATGTGAAAAACTTGAACAAAGCTAAAGTTCAGCTAAATATTTAATTGTTTCTCCCACCTTAAAATGTATTAAGAAATATTAAACTGTATTGTACAAGTATGACTCCACGGCAATAGTGATTATTTTACCAGCTTATGTAAACATATCAACCAAGGCTGAAGGACCCTGGTCTAGAGTGTGAGCACAGATAAGTGAGTGCAATTTTGTGTAAGTAAAACTTACCTTTTCATCATCCTCGACCACCTCTAATGTCAGTCGGTTCTTCTTAAAGTCAAGACGGGTTATTTTAGGCCTGAATGGAAACATTTACATACATCATGTTGAGATAGAAAATATCTCAGCCATGACTGAAGGGTCAAGACCCAGCTACTAGTCAGAACCACTGGGGTGTATCTGTGAATCTCACCAAAAGAAGAGACCAATTTTGCTGGATCCCTCGAAAACAAGGATTCCAGTTGGTGTGAGACCCAGAGCATATTCTCCTCCATCCCGTCCCTGCACGACAGTATAGAGCACTTTTACACACCATCTCACATGTATATTACACAGGTTTGACTGAACAGGTATAATAAATACACTACCGTTCAGAAGTTTGGGGTGGGTATTATTTTCTCTTATTCTTATTCTTTATTATATAAGACTGCATTTATTTGACCAAAATACAGTAAAAATGGTAATATTGTGAAATAGTATTACAATTTTTAACAACTCTTTTCTGTTTTAATATACTTTACAATGTAATTATTATTATAATAATTATTGTTGTTGTTATCTATGTTGAGCTGTTGTGCTGCTTAATATTTTTGTGGAAACGGTGATACATTTTCTTAGGATTCTTTGATGAATAGAAAGTTCAAAAGAACAGCTTTTATTGGAAATAGAAATATTTATAACACCATAAACTGGTCAATTTAATGCATCCATGCTGAATAAAATAATTCATTTTTTTGTAGGGCTGCACGATTATGACTAAAATCATAATTGTCGATTATTCCCTTGAAATTGCAATTGCGATTATTAATTAGGATTATCACAATTTACAATGAATGATGTTTATATCATTGTTTAATAATTCTCCTATTGTGAAGGTATAATGAAACCAAGAATTTGTATATGATCTTAAAATTAATCCTTGAAATCCAAGTACTGGAAGGATGTAAATGAACTAAAGGGAGTGATCTCACCTTCACAAAGTGCATGTCCACTCCATACATCTCCAGCCACTTGCACTTATTCAGGAAATTCAGCTCAGCTTGAGAAGGACTCATTCCCCTGTAGAGAGATGTTCTGGTGAACATTCAAACTCATGAGCCGTAAAGAACACCATAACTCATCATTCAACTCTTTGTCCAGCGCCCCGTCATTTCATGGCTAGACTACAGCAACTCCTTCTTGCACAGCCTGACAGCATTTGCCATATGTCCCATCAAGCACATCCAAAGTTCTGCTGCAATTGTTATTAACCCCTGGAAATCCTCTTACATTATACCTCTGCTCTGTGCTCAAATATCTACACTGGCTGACAAAATCTGCAAGAATTCAATTCAAGCCATTATTTCTGTATTGCACTGAATGTTTTCAACCCCCGGGTCTGTAAAGTCTCAATTTCTCATTTCATTTCCAAGAATAACAAACAACCCAGACACATTTAAACAAATGCGACATCTCATCTGTAGGGAAAGTTCTTCAGCTGAGCACGTACTTGAACAGTAGCACGCTGACTCTGATGATTGCTCTTAAAACGGGGTCAAATGCAGAGCTGAGAATTTAATTAAAACCACAGGGAGGCCTAGTTTTCAGTTCATGTTCAATGCATGTAAACAGTTCGAGTGTGATTATCACTAGCAAATGAAAGTGTCCAAATCTAATTAAGCGAGACCAAATCTGACACTTCAGTCAATCAAACCTTCATTCAAAACACACAAGCACAATCTTACACTGTGCAATGTGGCAAAGCGTCAAGCAGTAAATCTCTGTTAATCTTACTTTCTGTCCTAACCAGACTGTGACTGTCTGAAAACAAAACTACATTTTGTTGGTCGCATGCTCGGTGGTTCAGTGCTTTTATATTAAACATTAAATGTGACCCTGGACCACAAAACCAGCCATAAGGGTCAATTTTTTTAAATTGATATTTATACATCATCTGAAAGCTGAATAAATAAAATAAAGCTTTCCATTGATGTATGGTTTGTTAGGATATGACAAAATTTGGCCGAGATACAACTATTTGAAAATCTGGAATCTGAGGGTGCAAAAAAATCTAAATATTGAGAAAATCGCCTTTAAAGTTGTGCAAATGAAGTTCTTAGCAATGCATATTACTAAACAAAAATTAAGTTTTGATATATTTATGGTAGGAAATTTACAAAATATCTTCATGGAGCATGATCTTTACTTAATATCCTAATAATTTTTGGCATAAAAGAAAAATGGATAATTTTGACCCATACAATGTTTTTTTGGCTATTGCTAAAAATATACCCCAGAGACTTAAGGCTGGTTTTGTGCTCCAGGGTCACAACTGTTTTCTGATTGGCTATTATTAGTCAAGTTGCATAGTACTTTCACTTTCAATCAACTTGTATATCAGGACATGCAGTACTGCTGCCAGAATAAAGGTTCTTTAATGGCACCAATGCTACCATGAAGAACCTCTAAATGTAAGTTTTCTATTGCACAAAAGGTTCTATATAATGGAACATTTACGTCAGATTATTAGAATACTCTTCACAATCAGAACAAAAATGGTACTTTTAAATAACTGCTCACTTAAAGGTTCTTTGGGGAACCCAAAATTGCATTGCTACAAAAACCTCCTTTTGGAAACTTAATTTTTAAGAGTGGTGGGTAGGGATAAGAAATACTGACTTAGGTGGGGTTACCTGCACTCAGCCCATTTGTGGTAAATATCCGCCTCCATCAGCTCTGTCTGTTTGGGTGAAAAGCGAAACTCTGATACCAACACAATAGTGTGCTCTAATGGATCACAATCCCCAAGTTCACCTATTAACACATGAAATAGAAAGAAATGGAAATGAAAAGGCAAAAATCTGCTATAAATATGCAAACATATGAAAAAAGAGTCCAAACTGCCCATAAATCACACAGAACTCACTTTGTAAGCAATAAGCCCCGAGTTCCACAGTCACATCATATGGACACTTTAACCTGTTCGGGGAAGAAGAAGAGACTTAATGACCCTTAAAACAGCCACTAAACGTGTTTGCAGCATATAAAAGGTAACATTCAAAGCAGTCAGTGGACACAGTTTTCAAACAATGGTCAAAATCCACTTCCGTAAAACGTGAGATGACGAGACCGTGTTTATGTAAGAAAGTGTGTGCCCCCTGTGTGGGAAAGTGTGTCGGAGTGTAACTGTGCTCTTAAATTAGAAGCTGTGTGTTGGTTCTCATTGGAGTTTCTTTTATTAAAAAGGAGCAGAGCAGCACCCAGGAGACCAGACCCAGATTATACACACTGAAACAGAGCTTTTATTGGACCCCGGTAGAAACCCTGCCTCACTGTGTGTGCACGTAACAGAGGGAGGGTCAGAGGTGTGACACAGGGCAATAAGGGGGATATGAAAGGCTCCCTTTTTCTACTGCGTGTGCATGTTTGTGCACGTCTCACTGTGAGGTAAGCGTAATTTCTTACTTGCCGGACAGTATGTCTTGTCTAAGCTGCAGTACGAAGAGATACCTGCAAAAAAAGTGGTCAAAGTCAAATATTATAGTGCAGATATGATACCATACATATAAGGGATGAACCATTAAAAATCTGGCGAATATGATAAGCAGATAATTATTTTCATGTTATGGTTGATAAATATAAAAACTGTATACTAATTTGTCAAAATAAATAATTAAAAAAAAACAGTAAAAATAAATAAATAAATACACACACACATATATATATATATATATATATATATATATATATATATATATATATATATATATATATATATAAGGTAATCAAAATGTAAAAATAGAGGAAATGACCATGCAAAACTGAACACTGACACATACAGATAAATTGAAAAATCTCTAATAACAGCTGATAACTGATATATCATGCATTGCTGATACATTTTTTAAAATAATTCACCCAAAATTAAAAATGTTGTTTTGTACTCACACTCAAGAGTATTTCAATCTTCTGAAGCAATATCATAAATATGTTTAACTACGTCACTTCAGAAGACAATATAGTGCATGAACCCTATGGACAACATTTATTATGTTTTTATAGCGCCTTTTGTCATTTTGGAGCTTGATAGCTGCAGGTTTCATTCACTTCATTACGTGGAGATGAAAGCATATTGTGGAGGCAAACATCTTTTTTGTTTCACACAAGAAAGTCAGTCAGATTTTAACAAAATGGGGATGATTAATGATGATCATTTCGATTTTTGGGTGAACTATCCCTTTAAAAATCTCAGTTAGATGAATTAAAGAGCTTTACAAGACAGACAAGGAAAAGGCATATATGACAACTGTTGTTTACCTGGTGAACTCTTCATGAAGGTTATTGGGCTCTGAAGAATAGAATTTAACCCTGAAAAACAATCTGTATGGAGGTCCAACTGCGACAGAGAGATTTTAGGAGTAAGAGTATGTGTATACCGGAATGAAACAGACACCCAATGTCAATGACTATGAAATTTGTACATACATTTTAAAGGGAAAAAAGACAAGAAGCTCTCCTTTAAGGTTATGAAAGATGGTTGTCATAGAGACAGGCATAAGTCAGCTAATGTTGATTCAGTGTGACTCAATGGCTTTTAAAAATGTTGTAAAGCGGTTACGCTATAATATAGAAAAATGCCAGAGAATCTATGGACTCATTTCACTGACAACATAGTCTTTTTTTGGATTGCACACAAGTTGCATGGCCTGAAATATTTTAAATCGGTGCTGAAATCAAATTATATTGATGCTATTTCCATCTCCCACTTTCTCCATCCAACAGCTTTCTGTTTAGTGATCTACGTGGGGTATGTCTTGCACAGCATACATAGGGATTGGCTCTAGTCACACCCATAGTATACACTCGTATACACTTGTCACTAGTCACTAAGACAACAGTAAATTATGAGCCCAAGGTCATCAACCATCTGTGACCAGCCAACTAAACAACTCCACAATAACTACTTGTATATGTGTGTGTATGTGTGTGTGTATGTGAGAGAGAGAGATGTCTTATCACTACTCACATCTAATCTGCTTTTTGATGGGCTTGGCTGCATCCAACCATTGCTGAAAACATAAGGAAATGTAAAGAAAAAGAGAGCAGAAAACAGCATGGGAGGATTGGGGTAGACAGTGTGAGGGAGGGAGAGGGAACAAGACAAAGAGTTTGTTATTAGTCTGAGTGCTGAGAAAAAGAAAATCCTGTTGTTGTGGTTGATGTTGAGCGGCTGTTTCACACTGACACTCTCCATTTCTCATTTCTGGTCTAAGAGCTGCAGCTTATAAAAAAACAGGTCACTGCCACACACACACACACACGTGCACGGACGCTCATTAAGTGCCACTCACCGCAACCTGCTCTGGGTCCATGAACTGCAGACCGAAGTAATCAGCCTCCACCAGATCCAAATGATACATAATCTGATCAAACAGATCCTGTCCCTTGGAGTGTTTCTGAAACACACATTTAAAGCACAGATAAATCACTAAGTGTGGAAAGCTCGGGGCATCACACTGATCTTTTGACAGTTTAAGGGGACACCTGTGGAGCACGTTGGAAGCAAGAAGTTGCTCCAGTGTGCCTGCAGGGCTTGATGGCCCTGATTAGCCACAGAGATGTACATGCTACATTGATTTTCATATGCACTCACTACAGCTGAGTGATATAGCTTAAAATATCTCTGAATTCATCTCAACTCATTTTAGTCTTTTGATAATGTTTTTCTTTTAATCAGAAGAACTATAATTTTTTTTAAATGTTTGATCAAGAATTTATATACAATAAAAATCTAGTTAAGCATAAACAGATAAAATAAATACAATTTCAAATTTAACATTTTAAATGAACACAAAGAAGAATATATATGATCATTTTCATAGTTACCAATATAACAAAAACAGAAATCTACACAACTACCAGAATCAGTAAGATTTTTCTATGGAACAAAATTAATATTTAGCAAGAATGCATTAAATTTATACAAAAGTAACGGTAAAAAACATTAATAATCCTGAAGAATCCTGAAATAAAAATATTAAATATTAAGCAGCAAAACTATTTTCTACACTGATGATACTAAGAAATGCTGTTTTTGAGCACCAAATCAGCACGTGTTTTAATATTTCACAATATTACCATTTATACTGTACTGTTCTTTATTTAGCCAAATAAAAAGTGCTTCAGAAATGTTGCAATATTCATGCTTAATTTTTAAATGGCCAGCAAAATAATTTCAAATATATTGTAAGTATTACATATTTTGTCCTAAACCTAGTCTTATTACAAAGCCATTGAATGGATAATAACAATCCCAGAGCACCTTCAAAGGCCAAAGAGAGATCAAAAGTCTCTATTATCTATTTCATGCTGGGTCTAGATGAGGGGGACCACAAAAGCACACACAAAGGAAAAACTCTTATCAACTATTCTGGAGATAACCTCTGTTTTGTGATGGTCAGTTTATTTTCAAGGCCAGCATTCCACTGAGACCCAAAACTCTCAGCGAATGCAAAGAATTTGGAATTTAGCTATTGATTTGTTCCATTTTACGGAGCTTGATTGATTTCTTTTGTTGGTTGTGAGGCGAAGGAGGGAGCACATGATGAGAATAGGCCATGGAAATGGCAGGAGCTCCCTGTTATGATGAGCATGAGGAGAAGTATTCCCTGAGTGGAACTCAGCCAATCACAATGCACGGTATCGTGAGTCAGCATCTCTACAGAGTAAAAAAAAATTAGTCAATTATGGCAATGCCTGGAAGTTCCCCCAAGTCAAATGTTAAATAAGCTGCTAATAAAAGTGGCCTCCAATTTTCCAAGCCATTTTTTTTAGTTGCGCTACGATTTAAAAGTTGGGGGCCTGTAAGATTTTTATTTATTTTTTCCCCCAAAGAAATTAATATTTATTTTCACAAAGGATGCATTAAATTGATCAAGAGTGACAGTAAACTACAAAACTTTGTTACAAAAGCTTTCTAGTTGAAATAAGTGTTGTTCTTTTGAACATTCTATTCCTTAAAGAAATGTCACAGTTTTCACAAAATATTAAGCAGCACAACTGTTTACAACAGTGATAATATTAAGAAATATTTCTTCAGCACCAACTCAGCATATTAGAATGATTTCTAAAGGATCATGTGGCACTGAAGACTGGAGTAATGATGCTGAAAATGCAGCTTTGCCTTCAGGAATAAATTACATTTTATTCAACCTCTTAGTTTTAATAACTTTTTGTAACATGTTTTGCCAAATAAGTGTGCTTAAATGTCACTAGGATTTATTTAATTTTGTTATGTAATGCAGTGACAAGTGTACCTTAAGTGTCCAAATACTTTTTTTGAGCCATTGTATAAGCTTGATACTATATGCTGTAAAACTTTAAAAAATGTCAATTGTAAAACCAAGTCCAGCTGCCTTGCCTGAACGTACTTAATACTACAATACAATACAATCCTGAAGGATTTACAGATAATGTACTTATTGTCTTTCAATTGAAAGTACTTGTCTATTGTGCTTGATATATGATTGATAAAGGCTCTACACCTTGACATTTATAAGAGTGCCACAAGGCGCACACACACAGACGTAATCTAAAAGAAAATGCACACACATACTGTATATAATGTTGCACACAAACCAAGGCCGGAGCAAAAATAGCTTGAAGTGTCAGAGGAGAGTGGCTGGATTTGGGACACACCCTGAGGGGGGGGTGGTGGCTATTATTCTCTTTGATACTTGCTGCTTAACATACATAAATCAACATATATTTCAGAGCTATTCT